CCCCCCCCCCCCTCCCCCTCCCCCCGTACGCATTACGCGCCTCAACGCGTCAGTTGTACGCAGCAGCCGGCGATGATCTCTTCGTACGCAGTTAATTACGTCGCGTACAGTGCGTACAGTGTGTACAGTGCGTACAGTGGGTACAGTCAACAGTGCACGTAGAGGTTATAACATGTACACAGTTCAGTGCGTACAGTGTGTACAGTGTGTACAGTCTACAGTGCTCGCAGTGTTTATAACGTGTACATTATACAGTACGTACAGTGCATACAGTCTACAGTGCATGCAGTGTTTATAACGTGTACACTGTACGTGTGCACAGTGCGTACAGCTAGCAAACGATCGTAGCCGCAGTCTGTAACTATTATATAAATAATAATAATAATAACAAAAAAATAATTATAATAAGGATAATAATAATAATAATAATAATAATAATAATAAGAATAATAATAATAATATTAATAATAACAAACTCCCTAAACAGTCTATAATATTCCGGTATATTAAACTGTCTATAATAATTAAATATATTATATTTAATTATAATGCGGCATCTTAAAATCCTTCTAAACATGCAGCGAGGAATGACACTCAGAGAAATACAGACAACATTCCCACCAGGATTGAGAAGTGCGCGCATTATGCGCACAACTCATCCCTCAGAGCCGCATTGAAGCGTGTACGCATTGAAGCGTGTACGCATGATATGTGTACGCATTGAAGCGTGTACGCATGATATGTGTACGCATTGAAGCGTGTACGCATGATGCGCATGACGCATTGAAGCGTGTACGCATGATGCGCATGACGCATTGAAGCGTGTACGCATGATACGCATGATGCGCATGACGCATTGAAGCGTGTACGCATGATACGCATGATGCGCATGACGCATTGAAGCGTGTACGCATGATACGCATGATGCGCATGACGCATTGAAGCGTGTACGCATGATACGCATGATGCGCATGACGCATTGAAGCGTGTACGCATGATACGCATGATGCGCATGACGCATTGAAGCGTGTACGCATGATACGCATGATGCGCATGACGCATTGAAGCGTGTACGCATGATACNGCATGATACGTGTACGTATTGAAGCGTGTACGCATGATACGTGTACGTATTGAAGCGTGTACGCATGATACGTGTACGTATTGAAGCATGTACGCATAATACGCATGATGCGCACGCTGGGCAGCGTCTTTTGTTGCCATGAAATGCGTAACGGATGCCTTCTATGCGCACTCATGCGAATGTGTGGCACATTGTCCAAATACATGTAATAATGTCACTAGATTGCTTTAATCACAGATTACTAGAAATTTAAATGCGAGATTCACTAGAAATTTAAATGCGAGATTCACTAGAAATTTAAATGCGAGATTCACTAGAAATTTAAATGCGAGATTCACTAGAAATTTAAAAGCGAGATTCACTAGAAATTTAAAAGCGAGATTCACTAGAAATTTAAAAGCGAGATTCACTAGAAATTTAAAAGCGAGATTCACTAGAAATTTAAAAGCGAGATTCACTAGAAATTTAAAAGCGCAGATAAAAAAAATTTTAACTGCAATCATTGTTCTTATATATAGTTCTTATCCATATAGTTCTTATCCATTAGAAATTGTGAATAGATAGGTACTTACTTTATTACTCGGCCCTTTGTCTGTAAATTTAGGTTTTTAACTTCCGTGTTTTTTTGCTCAAAACTTTCTTAATTTTCTGACTTTATTTTTGTTCTAGATTTATCAAACTGATGATGGAGCTGGTCTCCGAAACGTTTTCAATAGAGAAATGCCGAATTTTTGTGGTGTTTTCTTCGCTTTTAAATTTCTATTGTCCCTTATGTGGGTCATCCTGACTCAGTTCAGCCCGGAGAAAGGCCGTGTCAGTGAGTGAGTTAGTTAGTTAGTTAGTTAATTAGTATAATAATTTTTTTAAGATAAAGATGACGCGAACAAGCACAAAAATTACATCGAAATTTGGTCAAATTCTCACACATTTCTGTGAGTGTGGTTTAATTAGTCGTGTTCATTATTAAATTAATTATCTTCTTGATGGTGTTAGATAAATAAGTTCTATTCTTGATAATATTCTTTCTTCATTTATATTTTGTAATCGATGCTATATTTTACTTATTATTTTCGAAGTTATTATTAAAATCATTATTCTTGTAACATCATTGTATTTATTATTATAAAAATTATTATTAGAGTTTTTATTTCTACATAGTTATTTATTTCACCAATTCTGAATTTCAGTTTTTTTGAATAATGATGGTTGGCTTAAATAAAAAGCTTGGTTTAAAGTTTTGCATATTTTAAGCGTATGTTTTATTCCTTCTTCAATTTGTTACGGAAGAAATTTATTATACGTTAATGTGAGACAATTTATTTATTTATTGAATGACAGCTTTAACTGCAGAGCAGCAGTCTTAACTGCAGTGCGAGCNGCTGCAGTCTTAACTGCAGTGCTGCAGTCTTAACTGCAGTGCTGCAGTCTTAACTGCAGTGCTGCAGTCTTAACTGCAGTGCTGCAGTCTTAACTGCAGAGCTGCAGATTTAACCTAGTTGTCGCAGCCTGAACTGCGGGAGCGACCCTCCTGCTAGCCATTATAATTACCCGGCATTCAGAACATCTCCATCAGCCTCTAATTAAGCCATCGAGGGCTCGTTAAACCCATTCAAACCCCTAAACTTAACCCCAACACAACAACTGTAGCTCAATTTTACCCACTGGGGTTCAATTGAGTTTACCCATAATCGTAATTCATTGAAGTAAATTGGTATTAATTGGTATTAGATATCAATTATAGACATGCGATATTTCGGTATAAAATCAATTAAATGTTGAGATTGCTTGCTTGTGTGTATGTGTGTGTGTTTGCTTCTTTTGTGTACTTGTTTGATTGTGTTGTTTGTTCATATGTTTGTCTGAATAAGACAAAACTAAACTAGACTGACTTAAAAACGGTATACGTCTAATATATACGGTATATATCTTATATACAACGGTATATGTCTTATATATACGGTATATATCTTATATACAACGGTATATGTCTTATATATACGGTAAAGTTTTATATACATGGTATATGTCTTATATATACGGTAAAGTTTTATATACATGGTATATGTCTTATATATATATACGGGAAAGTTTTATATACACGGTATATGTCTTATATATACGGTAAAGTTTTATATACATGGTATATATGTCTTATATATACGGGAAAGTTTTTATATACATGGTATATATGTCTTATATATACGGGAAAGTTTTATATACATGGTATATATGTCTTATATATACGGGAAAGTTTTTATATACGGTATAAAGCAAGAATATTATATATTGTTGAGAATCTTCCTACTTTCACAATTTTGTCGTTATATCGTTCCAAATTTCAACACGTAACGCGTTTTGTTTGTAACTTAATAATGAAAAATTGATACATTTGAAAAGTTGTTAAAGAAATAAAAATGTCCATCGGTGCCTAGCTGATTGTCAATATATCAATTCATGCAAAAAAATATTTTTCGATATATTGAAAAAATATTAAGAAAATTATTAATAAAACAGATTCTCTGGTCCTCAATGAAACCTACTAAAAATAATTTTATTTGAGCATTTTTATGAGCTTTTTTACCTTCTATTTGTTCGTGTATTTTTATTGTTTGCCCAAACGATGTGTGATATGGGTGTGTAGTTATGTGATTGTGTAGATTTGTGTAGTCTAATGTTATGTATTACTGTGCAATATTGCCCGTATTTTTTAGATCAAATATCAAATCATTGTATAATAGTTAACACAGACATGGTAAAACTCTGTATTTAATCATCACTAATACAGACACGATGGAACTTCGGTATAAAATCCCACTCAGGATAATATAATACAATAAATCCGCCATAATTATATATATATATATATATATATTTACTCGATTATGAAATATTCTAATCTATTGGTATTATACCTTGTCCAGTTGTATACAGCATCAATTGTAAATTGTAAATTGAAAATCAGTTGTAAATTATGAGTACACGAGTGTATATACAGTATTGTGTAACGGCCTCGGAATGTTATTATGAGAGAATAATATTCATAATGTTGCATTGATATAATGTAATATAAATGTATAGCTGACAATATTTACTCATATATTGAAGAAGAAAAAACTAAAATTCTGCTCATATATTGAATAATATAATATATAACAACACATTAATGCTGAGAATATTAAATGATATACTGAAGATTATGATTTACATTACAAGCCAATATTAAAGCCAATATTTATTCATGTACTTCATTATTAATTGACATGAAAAATGACATTTCACGCTTCACGGCTTCATTGGCCGGGAGGAAGCGAAATGATTGGCCGGGAATTGGAAATAAGAGCTAAGAATTGGCTGAAAATTGGCCGGAAATGCGGCAATTGGCCAGGCATTGTACGTAGTTACGCTGGATACGTGAATGGCTATTAACCCCCAACCCCATCCTTCCCCCCACTTGGAGTCAAAAATCCCTCCCCCCCTTACCCCTTCACATTTTTAGAGCATTTTCTCATTTATGAAAAAAATGCGCTATTGTGCTCGCCATGTCTAACCATCCGTTCGTCCGTCTCTCCGTCCGTCTGTCCATCCGTCTGTCTGTCCGTCCGTGACCTCAAGTTTTCGTCGACGAGAAAATACGCTCTCTGTCACTCACTGCAGTGAGTACTGAGTTATATTTTTTACTATTATTCCCTTCTTCACTCCCCCCTCTCCCCATTTTAATTTAAACTACCCATCCCCCTCTACTGAGCGTAGCCCCCTCCCCCCACTTGGAGTTAAATACCCCCCTCCCCCAATACGAAAGAAACCACCCGTTTTTTGTTAAAAAATTCCTTTCCCCACATCTCCTTTCACTGTTATTTCCCCTCTCCCTCTTTTAACTGGAATTAATAAGAATCCCCCTTTTACTGATATATATTAAATATATTTAAATTTATATTTAATTTATGTTCAATATATTTTTATATTGAATATAAAAGAAAAATGTCTTCCTCACAATGAGATACGCAATACAAAGTTAAGCAAACAAATTTATTTCGTGTTTCGTTATTTATTTTTTATTTATTAATTTTAATTTATTTCGTTACATCCTTAAATGGGCGTCAATGGGCTGAGATTAAATAGGTGGGTAAAAAATTTGGTCGCGAATTATCTAGTCGACAATTCGTAATTCTAGATTATAGGATATGTGAACCTAGATGATGCATTATGGGATAAGTAAACTTAGATGATGAAATAGGTGAAAATTAATAATAAAATTAAGTTATTGAAATTAGTTTATACCTGGGCAACCTGTTGCCGCTATTTATTTTGTCGTATATTTCGTTTCTGATTTCGTTCTGGTCACCTGCCATTATGGTCACCTGCCATTATGGTCAGACCCCCAAGGGGGGGTTGAGGGCACTGACCTAGAGAAGCCTAGGAAGGTAAGTTATTATATGAAAACTATTATAAATAATTGTAATAAATAATTATGAAACATTATATGAAAAGTATTATAAATAATTATAATAAATAATTATTTTAAAGCTGTCATTCATTGTAAAGATATTATTATTATTGCATTCCAATTTTACCCTGAATGCACAAGTTGAAATATTCCAATACATTTAATAGGACCTTATTTGCTGTAAATAAATATTAGGTCCTTAAACATTACAGAACATTAAATATTAGGACCTTAAATCTTAAACCTTACATATTAGGAACCTGCAATATTAATTTTTTCTATTAGCACACAACCTGAACAACAACATGTGTCTAGTTTATACATTTATGTAGAAACTTGTTCCGGCTGTATATTTTACGTGTATACCCATTATAATACAATAACTATTGTAGTAACGTACCGCTGTAATATCGTACCACTTGTAACGTACCACTATTAACGTACCACTATTAACGTACCACTAGTAACGTACCACCATTAACGTAGCACCATATCACCACTACAGCAGCTACGTCGGTCGCGCACGACGTTCACGACGTACCACTAGTAACGTACCACTGTTGTAACGTACCACTGTAGTAACATACCACTAGTAACGTACCACTATTAACGTACCACTATTAACGTACCACTATTAACGTACCACCATTAACGTACCTTATATCACCACCACAGCAGGTACGTCGGTCGCGCACGACGTTCACGACGTACCAGCTGCACCAGTTGGAACGTGCGTTCGACAAGACGCAGTACCCCGACGTCTTCACCAGAGAGGAGCTCGCGCTCAACCTCGACCTGTCCGAGGCCAGGGTCCAGGTGGGTTATACTCAGGGAAATGAGTGGTGCTTTGTTCTAATAAAAGGTGCAGGTGTGTTATACTAAGAGAAATAAGTGGTACTTTGTCCAAATAAAAGGTGCAGGTTTGTGTTTACACTAAGAAAAATAAGTGGCACTTTGTCCAAATTGTGATGCAAGGCTCCAGCTGTCTGGGGCCAGGGTGCAGGTGTGTTATACTAAGAGATATAAGTGGTGCTTTGTCCCAATAGTTGTCTGGGGCCAGGGTGCCTAAATGTATTTACACTAAGAGAAATAAGCGGTAATTTGTCCAAATCAACCTCGAACTCCTGGAGGCCAGGATGCAGCTACGGGATAATATAATTTGTTATCATTAGTTATATTTATCATTATTATACGCTAATTCAGCAGCATAATGATTTTTACCTTTGTTGATAAGATTACTTGTTAGCATTACCGTCACTATTATCGTCACTGTTATCATTTCTTGCTTTTTATCATTACATCCACTGTTATCCCTAATCTAGCCGTATTTATCATCATATTAATTGTTATCACTTTTGTCGACGTCTTCATCATCACAATAGACTTCTATTTTCACAATACGCGTGTTCATCATCACATTCATCATTCATATCATATTCATTATGCAACATTCTTGCCATCATCGTCGGATGATTAGCAGTGGCGGCCAAATGGTTGCCCAGTGGTTAACCAGGGTAGCCCAGTGGTTAACCAGGGTGGCCCAGTGGTTAACCAGGGTGGCCCAGTGGTTAACCAGGGTGGCCCAGTGGTTACAGTTCAGAGTACCAAGATTGTAGCAGTGAGTTGCGTGTTCGACACCGCAACCTAGCTGTGAATGTTCTGCGATGTTAAGAATCGGCGACAGGCCTACGGCCTAATAAACGCTGGAACCGCTATATTATTATTATTATTATTATTATTATTATTATTATTATTTACGATGGTTGCAATTGCCCGGAGTAGCGTAGGTATCATGCTATGGTGGCGCCGGGGGGCGGAGGCTTGAACCCCCCTCCAAGCCGCCCAATAAGTCACATTAATTGGGCCCTCGGCCTAAGTCACTAACTTTTCAACCCATGGCTTGAGCCGTCCAATGAGTCACATTGAGCGCCTCCTCCCCCCCGGCTTAAACCGCTGCTTCCTCCCCCGGCTTAAGCCCTTCCCTCCTCCCTCCTCTCCTGGCTTAAGCCGCTCTTCCTCCCCCGGTTTAAGCCCCTCTCTCCTCCCCCGGCTTAAGCCCCTCCCTCCTCCCCTGGCTTAAGCCCCTCTCTCCTCCCCCGGCTTAAGCCCTTCTCTCCTCCCCCGGCATAAGCCCTTCTCTCCTCCCCCGGCTTAAGCCCTTCTCTCCTCCCCCGGCTTAAGCCCTTCTCTCCTCCCCCGGCTTAAGCCCCTCTCTCCTCCCCCGGCATAAGCCGCTCTCCCTCCCCCGGCTTATGCCCCTCCCTCCTCCCCCGGCTTTAACCACCCCTCCCTCCTCCCCCGGCTTAAGCCCCTCCCTCCTCCCCCGGCTTAAGCCCCTCCCTCCTCCCCCGGCTTTAACCGCCCCTCCCCCCTCCCCCGGCTTAAGCCGCCTAATAAGTTACGCCAAACAAAGAAGCTCAGACAAATATCGACTGCTAAGCATGCTGACCCCAATTAAAAATCTTGATCGGCTCATTACCGGCCATTATAATCCAGCTTTAATTAGGCTGAATTTTCAATAAGGTTGTATATATTCTTCAGTCAATATGCAGGCCTAGCTTAACAATTGTGAGGCCTACAATAGGCCTATTGTTTCAATGCAGATCTTTTGCGGTACACGAAATTACCGTAGAAATTACCGTAGAAATCGTGTGATTATTGGGCCAGCTTCTGAAATGCTTATGAGGAATTTAGAGGAATATTATTATACCAGTTATATCATATATTATATTATCAGATATATTTATAGGGATGCTTCTTATTATGTATAACTGTATATAAAAATATATATCATGTTATTCTTATTGTAAATACCTATATAGAACAATGTATATCATGTTATTCATATTATAAATAACTTTATAGAACATTGTATATCATGTTATTCTTATTATAAATACCTATATAGAACAATGTATATCCCTGTTCTCTTACATATTGGAGTTGAAACCTGAGTTGAAGTTGAAGCCTGGTATTGTTTTGAAGTTTGAGTTTGAGTTGAAGTTGAATTAGGAGTTTGATTCTTTAACAATCCATATTTTTAATAAAATGTTGACAACGGCCGACGTCGTTTCGTCCCGCCGCTGAATTTAGCCACGGGCGCACAAATTAACATTTTTACAGCGCACAGATGGCGCTTAAACTTTGTTAAATTGGGTGAATGATGGGTGAATGGTGGGTGAATGGTGGGTGAATGATGGGTGAATGGTGGGTGAATGGTGGGTGAATGATGGGTGAATGGTGGGTGAATGGTGGGTGAATGGTGGGTGAATGGTGGGTGAATGGTGGGTGAATGGTGGGTGAATGGTGGGTGAATGGTGGGTGAATGGTGGGTGAATGGTGGGCGAACGGTGGGCGAACGGTGGGTGAATGGTGGGTGAATGGTTGGTGAATGGTGGGTGAATAATGGGTGAATGATGGGTGAATGGCATTGCCGTTCACCCCTGCGCAGGTCAAAGGGAACATAATAAAAAAGATATTATTTCTCCAGCTCGCCGTGATGGCCTGGAAATTTGTTGTTGTTGCGCCTGGGACATTTTTTAGGCCTAGAGGCAGATTTGAATCACAGCCTTACGAGAGAAAATATTTAGTTAGGTTCTAGATGGAGTTTGTTGAGACCCTTACATGATATAAATAAATTATTGATAGATTCATTATATAATAACCATACATGGACGTGTAAGTGACTTTATAAAATATAAAATATTTATATTATTTTACAAAGTTACTAATATAATATATTATTATTTTACATATTACAAAGTTACTATGTAATATCTAATGAGATTATATAAAATTATTACTGGCATCAAACGGTTTAACGATTATAAGGCTCAGAAAAACTTCATTGGGTTCCACATTATACATTTAAGAAATTCACCCCTTATCTATGGTGCACTTCACCATTAGCAATTAAATTAATTGGCTATCAGAATAAATTGTGTCCAAAAATACATTAGCCGTTAAACTCAACTATTAAATAGTTCAAACATCACAATTATCCATTAAATGACACGCACATCAATATTAGCCATTACATGGCACACACGTCACCATTAGCCACTAAGTACGTAGTGTGTACATCACCATTAGCTATTAAATGGTACACACAACACAATTAGCAATTAACATCGCCATTAGCCATTAACGTCACCATTAGCCATTGACATCACCATTAGCCATTAACATCACCATTATCAATTAACATCACCATTAGCAATTAACATCACAATTAGCCATTAACATCACCATTAGCCATTAACATCACCATTAGCCATTACAATTAACATCACCATTAGCCATTAACATCACCATTAGCCATTAACATCACCATTAGCCATTAACATCACCATTATCCAGGCTGCGCTCACTTTAGAGCACTTGAGCGCCGCTCATCAAGTGCTCGCAAATGTGAGCGCAGATGTGAGCAAAGAAGCGCTGTTGTTTACACACATAAAGACTTGAATAAAGACAATATATAGACGCAAAGACACGTAAAACAATAAAGACACTTTAATAGACGCAAAGACACGTGAAACAATAAAGACAATATTTAGACGCAAAGACACGTTAAGAAAATAAGACACTTTAATCGACGTGAAGACACGTAAAACAATAAAAACACTTTAAATAGACGCAAAGACACGTAAAACAATAAAAACACTTTAATAGACGCAAAGACACGTAAAACAGTGAAGACACTTTAATAGACGCAAAGGCACGTAAAACAATTAAGACACTTTAATAGACGCAAAGACACGTAAAACAATTAAGACACTTTAATAGACGCAAAGACATGTAAAACAATAAAAACACTTTAATAGACGCAAAGACACGTAAAACAGTGAAGACACTTTAATAGACGCAAAGACACGTAAAACAGTGAAGACACTTTAATATACGCAAAGGCACGTAAAACAATAAAGAAACTTTAATGGACGCAAAGACATGTAAAACAATAAAGAAACTTTAATGGACGCAAAGACTGGTAAAACAATAAAGACACTTTAATAGATCAAACGGTAGAAATATTCAAAGACCAAAAGACATGTGCATGGTGATGACATTTAATAGACGCAAAGGCTCGTAAAACAATAAAGGCAGTTCTTTGTTACCAAAGACGAGGGTAGCGCCAACAAAGGCAGTCGCCCTCGCTGCCGTCCTGTTCTTTAAGAGGGGAAATCTGGCCCTCAGGACTCTTGATTTTCAAGCGATTATGAGGGTTAAAGAGGCATGATAAAGAGGCATGGTAAAGAGGCATGGTAAAGAGGCATGGTAAAGAGGCATGGTAAAGAGGCATGGTAAAGAGGCATGGTAAGGAGGCATGGTGAAGAGGTATGGTGAAGAGGCATGGTAAAGAGGCATGGTAAAGAGGTATGGTGAAGAGGCATGGTAAAGAGGCATGGTAAAGAGGTATGGTAAAGAGGCATGGTAAAGAGGCATGGTAAAGAGGCATGGTAAAGAGGCATGGTAAAGAGGCATGGTAAAGAGGCATGGTAAAGAGGCATGGTAAAGAGGCATATCAAATGCTTACCATGATATAAAGCAAAGCATTTAATTAAATGCTTGTTCAGCAATTGTTAGCGTGGATATAAGTTAATAGGGATACCCAATTAATATGAATATCACAACATATATCCGTGCAAATCAATATAATAACTAAACTTTTAAATTACATTCGAATAAGTTGAAGTTGTAGCAGGAAATGAAAAAAATTCCAGTTAAATCTTATTTAATCAAGCGTTCAAGCATTTAAAAACACCCTCAACTTTGGCCTCATAAAATCACTCCAAACTTCGCCTTCATAAAATCACCCC